AACGGACAAGAATGGACATGGGGTGGCAGAAACGGGGGCGAGGTTTCAACTCTAAGACCGGACATGCTGCAGTCATGGGCCTTTCAACTGGTAAGGTCCTTGACTACACAACAAAAAATAAAATGTGCCGCTCCTGTGATGAAGCTAAAAAGGCAGGAAAACAACCAAATGACCATGACTGTAGAAAAAATCATTCAGGCTCTTCAAAGTCAATGGAGCCTTTAGCTGCAGTTGAACTTTTCAATAAGGTAACTAAATCAAATGTCAAATTTTCAATTTACACCGGGGATGATGATTCAATGACTGAATCTCAGCTAAAGCGAAAGGTACCCTATGGTGTGGAAAAATGTAGTGATGCAGTTCACATAAAAAGATCCCTTACAACACGCTGTTACGAGGATCGAATTATTTTCACTGAATCTGTCACGCAATCCCAGACTTTTCTAGAATTATCTATAATCTGTAATATTCCAGAAATTTCTTTCGTGTGATTCAACAGTTTCCAAAAATAGCACAACTTGTAATACGCTATAAATAGTAATAGAACATTCTAGATAACTAAGTAAATGTATAAAAGTTGGCTTGTGAGAAGTACAAAAGGAGATTTGCCCGAGGGCTTACCCTCCTGGCTTGCTGACTGAACTTTTGGAAGCTATGATATGACGTGGCTATGACCTTTTGACCTTGCGATATTCGGAGAGAAGAAAGAGATGAAAAAGACGATAGTCGAGAGAGGAAGAAGATAGAGAATACAGAGTTTACTATGGAGTCCTCCGGAAGTGTTTGTGCACAAGGAAAGAATGCGATAAATCAAGAAAGCCAAGCGCTGTGGTCTTCAGTCGGCGGATGTTGGAATTGGAAGTTGATCAAGACGACGAACACTTACACGGCATGCGGCATGAAGGGTTGTAAGCCTGCTTTATGAACTGTTTCACTTAATCTTTAACCTAATTAAACAATGTAAGACTAATTAAATAATAGTTAAAATGGGTAACTGCTTGTTATTACATTTTTGTTGCGTGCCATATATTGTAATCGGGAGTCTATTTTCATATATGCTTTGTTAGCGGACATTTGTTGGTCATTCGTGCACGTAACAATGCCTATACAACTTGAACAAACGAAGTAAGTTCCCCAACAGTTCAGTGTTGTCACAGAAAGTCATAAATTACCTTGTCAAATCTTTTACATACTGTATTGCACAAAATAAGGGGGATGCTACAAACATGAAATCTGCGATCAAAGCATTGTGCCTCATGCATTTGGTGACCATACTGGTTGTAGAGAGACATGGTGTCGATACAAGAAAGACCCTTCTCATTATTGTCACAGAGATCTTCCCTATGGTAAAGACCTCCAAGGAGATAGCCTTCAATCAGCCCTGAAATCTCTCTTTGATGAATACAGCACAGACATTGTTATAAACAAACCTGCACCTGCAGCAAATTCTCAACGTAACGAGTCTCTGAACAGTGTGGTGGGCTCGAAGAACCCCAAAATTCGCTTTTACGGGGGAAGTTAAAGCAATGATTATCGAGTGTCCTGCAGTGTCTCTCAAGTAAATCTAGGTTACAGGTACATTCTTCAAACTCTAGTGTCACTTAACATAGAGCCAGGTCTTTTCTGTGTAGACCATGTATGTATGTATGTATGTAAATCTTTATTTAAACACGGAAAATCATCAATTACATAATAAAAACTAAGATTAATCAACTGCTTTACATGATTTCC